AAAATAAAAAAGTTTAAAAGGGGAGTGATTAGTAAAATATGCATAAATAAAAAGAAAGAATGCTAACTAGGTAACATAAGATAAGAATAAACAAGTTTAAATGATTTGTTATTCGTTTTGATCATATTTGTGTTGAGAGCTGTATCCATAAATTCATTTTTTGCTCAAAGTGCACCAGATTGAGGCATTTCACTTCAACATTAAAAAAAAATCGTCCCGGGGGTGCATGCCCCGGACCCCCCTAGAGGAGGTGAGGTCCACCCCCAAATAAAGCAGGTTAAAATAATTAAATTGCATACATTTTCTTTTAGTAAACATTGAAAACGGGTCCCACAGACCCAAACAGCACACAAAGGTTAAAGGTAAGCATATAATAATGTTCAAATGTGCTAAATATATACAGAGCAAAAAAACTAAAAAAGAGGAGTAAAAGTAGCTCACGACTTGTTTTATTTTTTGAAATTAGCTCTCCTCCGAAATGTTGGAGACCCCTGTTCTAGAACGATACATTCGACAATTTTAAGCTTGACCTACCATTTTATTGGAGCGATGAGGAACAGGTGGGGCTTGAAAAGGCCCACCTGTTCAAAGTGGGGAATGACAGAAAAAGTTTGAGAACCACTGCTGTAAACCATAAACTGATCATTAACCGACTGTATGATGCCATTAACATCATCACTTATTTCAAGAGAGTAATGTTATCACCGACTTGCCCTTGTCCCTCTGTCAGTTCATGTGTGTCAGACTCTAAACAAATACATCTGCACACTATTTTTTATAAAACTGATCAGATTTTGGGGGAGTCATAAGCACAATGCCCTTTTTTTGACAGTAGCCCCGCCCTGTCTCAGATGCTTCAGGCTTTCTAGGCCCATTGTTTTCTCACTATTTAACCTCCCTAACCTACAGCCATGTCCCATATATTCCACCCAGACTGCTGTGCCTCTCTGATTTGTTTTTTTGTGCAACATAATTGAAAGTAAAGTTGTGACATCAACGCCGCCAGTATTGTACTTTATTTAATGCCTTCAAAAAGAACTTTCACGGGTCACCAGTTCTGGGATTAATGGTGATTGTTGGGAGTAATTGATGGTAAAGTGAATGAACTCTGTGCCCCAGACTCTGTTTTGACAGTGGCTCTTTAGAAGAATAGGCCTCTTCCACAATGCTGTCCTGTAACATGCAGCCTGCGCTGTGCTCTGATTGGATACTCCCTGAAAATGACTTGTTTTATTTGCCGATCTCGTATATAATATCTTGGTTCCAGCTTCTCTATAAACTTGCTGGACAACATCATTTGAAATGCATTATCCATATATGATTGAATTGTTTGTGAATGTTGTGTTGACTCTTCTCGTTTTCTTGTACAGTTTGTTGCTAAAGTCTAGGAACCCAGGGGCTCAAGAGGGTGTGAGAAAGTACACTTCGGACTAGCCAAGTTCTTTATGCCTGTCGGATTAGAAGAAAACGGTTGAGAGGATGAAAGGAATCGCTGATGAACCGCAGTATTCTGTCGGTCTGCTGGAGGGAGGCGCAGCCCTCTGTGACGTGATTGACAATCATATTTATGAACAATCTCTGGTAAGGGCCTCACTGCAGCAACATGTACATTTAGCACACACTTGTAAACCTGCATTTCGTACTTTTCAAAACAGCTTTTATTCTATTCTATTGGCCTGTTTACATGTGGTAAGTCACAATCTGACAGACTTTAGCGAAAGCTTGGAGTTTGTATTTTTACTCATTCATTGACATGTATTTTTATTTCCTCCTCAGACTGAGAAGAATGCATTCTTTGTAGCAGACCTGGGAGTAATAATGAGGCAGCATGTTCGCTGGCGAACCCACATGGCCCAAATTAGACCCTACTATGCTGTCAGATGCAACAGCAGCCCAGCTGTTATTGAGGTTCTTGCTGCCCTCGGTGCCGGATTCATTTGTACCAACAAGGTACTTGACCATAAACTGGTTGTGTCACTGTAGTGGGTTCAGGTTTATCCACAGGAAACATGTGTTAGATACAAAGATAGTACTGTACTGTACTGGTAGATCTATATTGTTATTTATATAGTGTACTTATTTTGACGTTTTCATTTTGTCTAATGTTGCTTATTGCAAGGGTTCCCAAAGTGGGGATCGCGAGATGATTACAAAATAAAAATGGAAAATAAAAAAATAATAATAATAAAAAAAAAAAATTGATTAATTTTTTTTGTAATTTAAAAAAAAAAAAAATCTTAATAACAACGTTTGCATAGACATTTTCAGGGGCGGACTAGCCATCTGTATAATTTCCCCGCAACGAGGCTCCCCCTTTGACAATCCACTAGCGCAGTGTTTCTCAAACTTTTTCATACCAAGGACCACTTAACCAATAAAAAACACTCATGGACCACCTAACTCCACAAATATCCAAAAACAATAGGCCTGCTTACCCATTCCAACAGTATATAACAAATTACAGCCTAATAATGACAGCTTAACCTTCTCTATATCGCCTCGTTCACACATTAAATCAACAATACAAATACAACTAGAGACTAAGCATTTAGTTCAAATTTTTGGTTTTACATCTCTTATTATGAAATGTAGACTACATTTATTATGTAGTATTATTTAAACATGAGT